TCTCATGTAAGATTGTCAGTGTTCTTGCGGAAATACGGTGCTGCTCCCGTTCGGGCAAAAGCCCTCTTGAGCAAATCATTTGCGCAAGAGGGCCAGTGTAAACAGCACAGTACTGTTTTCTGCAAAAAAGCCCCGATCGCGAAAATGGTGATCGGGGCTTTTTTGCGGAAACCCCGTCTAGATTGGCCACGGACGCTTTTCCGGAAAAAGTGCTTTTGCGGAAAAGCATCCTGCCAATCTAGACATGCTTTTCCAAAAATGCTTTTAACTGAAAACTTTTCCATTAAAAGCATTTTCGGAAAATCATGCCAGTGTAGACATAGCCCTTATGTTTACAGCCAGTATAAACCACCATGTACTTGTAGTCATGGTGCACTGCACCTCTACCCTCCCACCAATATTTTAATTGCTAACTGGGGTACCCCCACATGCCTTCTCCCAGCCCTTTTGGGTTGCCCTCCCTGCACTCCTTCCCCTGCAGTCACTTATGCTCCCAGCACCTGCCTAGGAAAATAGTGAGTTTAGACATAATCCTTGCTGGGTGGTGCAGTGCTGAAGTCAGAGGATGGCTTAAAACACAATATCAAAATAAACAAACATGGATGTTCTTAAAGTAGCTACACGAAGGTATCTCTCTGATTGGGATTCAAATGTGTAGTTAGGTTGTCTCTTGTTAGCCTAATTGTGACTCTCCTCAACCTCTTGGTCTCTGTTGAGATGACACTCTCCATCATCCCTGAAATCTTGAAAGGTCTCTAAGTATTCCCTTGGTTAGGAGTGTGGAGAACAGGAGGGCACTTCAAGTGTTCCCCACTCTGGCACTTCAAGTGCAGAAGATGGGGACCTATTAGGGACCTTGGGGGGATAGCTGCCACCATCAAGTGATTTAATCCAGAAAAAACAGGAAGGAATACTTGAATTCTCCAGTAGTATCCCAGGTTCTTTTGCCCCAAGAGAGCTTGAAAAAAGAAGCAAAAAGCACAGAAAAACAAACTATATCTCTGATAGCTGACCTCCAAGGCTAGGCAGACTCACAGAGATCTCCTGTTACCTTCCAGGGCACAAGAATCAAATCATCACCATAAAAAGATGATTTTATTAACAAAACAAAAAGCTATGCTTGATAAAGCTTACTTGGTTGCTAGGTGTTACAGAGCAACTAAGAAAAGACAAGGAATCATAGTTTTTCAGGCTGTAACTTAAATGGTAAGTGGGTGAGAGAAGGCATAGATTCACAAAGAGAAGTTTAACCAAACAACCAAAATAAAGAAAAATACCCTGAATCGTGACTAAATACACGTTTTCCCTCTACTCACAAACCATTCTGATCCGTACCTCAAGGCCCAGTTCACGCCCATGCCCAATATTTCTTATAGGCATGGCAATTCTGATTACTGCATCTGCTTCCTCCAGCTCTTATCTTACAATTTTTTTTCACAAAGAGAGCAAGTATCTGAATACAATACAGATTTCAGCACTGTATCCCCATTGGTTCTTCTGGCCCCCTACCAACACTGTTCCTCAGGGTCGCCCAGAGGATTCAGAGGGGTCTGGGGCAAAGTAATTTTGTGGGCCGCATCCTGGCACTCACTGTCTCAGAACTCAGACTTCAGACATTCTCGTGGGGCCCCTGTGGGGCTCGGGGCCTGGGGCAAATTGCCCCACTTGCCCGCCCTCCCCCGGCGGCCCTGCTGTTCCTAGCTACCTGAGTTTAACCCCTTAGTCACTGGGTGCTGGCCAGCACTCCTTCTATCCATCACAACTCCAAACAAAAGCTAAAACTGAAAGCAAAAGCAAATTCTTAGTCTCTGAATTCTAGCTTATGCTTGGGTCTGGTAGTGTTCCTAGCAAGTCCCATCTCTGCCCTAGAGCCTAAATAATCTGAGAAACAGAGTCATGAGCCTCTATAGCTACTGCTGCTGGAGTCCAAGGGCCAGTTCCCTTGAGGCTCAGTGTTGTAATAGGAGTACCTCCTCTAAAGGGTACATATAATTAATTCAGAATGCCTGGTTTCTGTCCCCTGACCCACCACTAACTGCTGAGTGTCCTTGGAATAAAATGTTGAAATGCCTACTAATTTTAGGTGCCTCCATTTTTAGAGGCAGAGTTTAGGTGCTTAGGACCTGATTTTAAGAGACACTGAGGACTTGTGTCTCTGTTGGAGTGCTTTGTGTTAAGTGCTTCTGAGAACTGGATTCTAGGTGTTCAAATATTGTGTGCTCAGAATCAGTGTACACATTTAAATTTCAGCTTTAATCCCTGTGAAATGGACAAAATGATAAGTAACATGTGGTGCAGACTAATTTGTTAATATTTATGATACATTTTGAACTACTTTTCTGGGTGCAGGAAAGTTGGCTTGGGAAAGATTTTGCCTGGGAAACCGAAGGAGGAGGCAAGGAGAGGAAGGGTAATGTGAAACAGCTCTCTCCCAGTGAAAAACAAACAGGGAGAGTGTAAGAGGAAAAAGTTCTGAGGTGAGAAGCTGGTGTGATGAAAGCTTACATTTTTTATGGGACATTCTGTTCAAATGGGAGCTTGTGGTCTGTAATGTGTATTTTATTCTTGAAACTGACTACACAATCACAGTGTCAAGTCCTAGGTTGTTGTAATTGCAATACACCTGGCAAATTACAAGTAAGTGACATTTCCTACAGCCTGTAGAACCAGCTTTCGGCCTTGTCTAGTACATATCCTTCAGGGGTATATTTCCTTAATATAACTCTGGCACTCTTTACAGGCTTTGGCTGCATATTATACAGAAATATAAAGTTTAAGAATGATTTACCTCTTATAGCATAAGAGCCTTTTTTATAGAAATGTTTTCACTACCTCTGTGCACACATTCGTGTATTTTGGAAAGAGAATCGATAACCTTGAAAAGCTGCAGAATCCCTGGAGAAAGATTCAGGGCTGCAATTTTAGAGGGAGTATATGCACCTGTTCTCACTTATAGAAAGTTTTTGGTTCCTTTGTTTTTGTATTAATATTTGCCAGACTTGTAAAGCAATCACTAACAGCTATTGAAACAGAGAAGCTGAACAAGAGAGCACCAACAAAAGGTCATTCCCTCCTTTTGCCAGTTTAACATGGAGAGACAAATGAATTCTCTTTTTCAACATCCAACTACTGTTATTAGCAAAATGTACACTCAAGTGCTACATTTTCAAAGCGGATCCTCCCATTGTGCAGGTGCAAATCAGGTACTTAGCTGTATATAATTCCTGTCCTTTGTTCTGACACACAGACTTTCATACTGTAATGAGATTTGCACAAGCAGATGGCTGAGACCTTAATTCCAACTGAATTTTCATGTCTTAATATTGTTTCTAGTGGTTTACAAATAACACTGTTACAAGCAAGGTGGCTGTAAACAGAGAAATGGGTTACGGACAGATGGGTGCTTTTCAAATCAGATTTACTTTATTTTTGTGGGCTTTGTGACTCAAAATGTTATCAAAATACTGTACTTTTGGTTTACTTATGAGTGGAAAGTGAACATGAAATAAATGTATTTGCAAGTGACCTGGAACAAACAACCCCATGCTTTAATTTTGTATGGTATTTCTTTAGATACTGCACAATAAGGATCTTGTACAATGATTTCATTGAGGAAGATCATTTCAGGATTGGGGCTTGGTGCCCTAACAATGTGATGGCTTATGCAATCAGTATTTCATTGTTATTTCACACCATAAACCTAACCTTGGAATATGCTCTTACAGAGCATCTCTAAAATTCATCATCGTATTGAAGTTGGTTGGTAGTCAATGTTATCTGGGAAAAAATGAGATTAGAGAGAAATTACAGGGTATTAATAAGCAAATCTCTGATATTTCAATAGTTACATTCTTCAAGCTAATATTAGTTCTAATTGAATGCCTGAGGTAATAAAATTGCTCCAGTTTACTAGTAAATATGCATTGGAGTGTATTAATTGCATGATGTAAATATAGTATTGGTATTATGCACAATAAGTGAAATTCACTCCTGTTCAGGAAATGTATCTGGAGGAGTTAGAGATGAATCTAGTAACTCAGAGCAGTATCTTTATTAAAGTCCTGACTTTTCATTCGGAGGGCTCTAGGGAAATCATAATTTTATGTCATTATGTTCAGTTTAAATAGTCACACACAAACAATATCTTTAATTTACAGTTCAGTTTGCAGAAATGAAATTCCCAATAAAACAATCGCCAAAACTCCAGGAAGTCACCATTTAGCACAATGTACCCCTCCATACCAGCTCCGAATATCATGCCTCACTACTCAAACATCAAGATATTTATACTCTCTCTCAGACTTCTCCATTCCACAACAAACTCCCCTTCAATTTTAACATATACAAATACAGATATACTGTTTTGTACAGCACTCAAACACACAATAGGAACATTTGATTAGTCTATTTCACTGGAAGACTTATGTCCTCTCTTAAAGTTTAGGGGCTGAGTTTTCAGTTGTGCTGAACTATGCTGCTTGCAATGGATAAGAGCATTGTTATCTCAAGGCCCTGTGTTATCTCAGTGGGGCAGAATAACTATGGAAATCCTAATAAAACAAAGTACTTCTTTATTTGCAGTAAATGAGACGCTCTACAAAGACTTAAAAAGACATGTATGCTATGGCTGCAGCATACCGTTGAATTGTTCTGAATATTTGCTGCTGCTCCTTTCCCTTCCCCTCCCCTCAGTAAAAAAAGAATTTGTGGTTTCTGAGCAATAGAAGGATTTAGTCAAAACATGGAGTATATTAAAATTGTGACATAAGATGTCTGCATAAGTACTGAGATCCCCTTGCAGTCTTATGCAAGAATTCTAATGATAGTACATATTTGCTTTGCTGGTAATAAAAGCTGCAATCTGGCAAACATGCACACCCAGAAATAACTTTACATTTCTGAGTAGTAAGCTCATTGAACTCAGTGAGATTTCTCACAAGCATAACGGTTTGCAGGAAGTATCCTTGCAGAGCCACAGAAGGACAGATCTTTGTTAATTTCAATGGGAGATGGGTGCATAGATGCCATTGAAGATCTGGGCTAGAGCCTCAGGGACATCAACAGGGCACCTCACAGGCACAAGGGTTTGACTGAACCTTGAGATCATTACTAGGTAACTTTTAACATTTCAAGATTGCAATAAATAAGCATATTTTGTTTTGCACTGGATCCTGCAAGGTGGACTCCTACAAAGCCCCATTGAGTTGGTTGGGGGTCTGCCCAGTGATCCAGCTGCATAAGTCAGCTTGCAGGACCAGGCCTAATGACATTAATTTGCCTTTCAATGGAAACCTGTAGAAGAAGGTCTTATATAATGACAGCTGGACAGTGCCCTGAATTACAGAATAAAATGAATTTGATCTTTTAGGAGCTAATCCCAAAATGAACTTCATACAGGCAGAGGCATGGGCACATATAAAGTTCTCCAGAAAGCAATACAGCTGTCCAGGAAAAAGGCCTGCTTTCCTTGAGCTCATTGTGTGATTAGGAATTTATCCAGATTGATTTCAATGGTGGTTGGGCACCTAATTCTTATCAGTGAAGATGTGGGCCTTAGTTCTTAATTCTGCAAACATGCATTTGTTTAACTTTATTACTCCAAAAATGATCCCACTGAAATCTGTGGGTTGCATCCAGTAGTGAAGTTAAGGATGTGCATAAACACATGGTTGCAGCCTGGCAAATTCTTCTTTGCCTGTGGGGTTTTTTTTTAATCTTGGATGAGTAAAATATTTATTTTTCATTAGTTGCTCATCAGGGTAAAGGGAAGTAAAATAGACTTTCAATGTGGTGTGCTAAACATTTATGACATTTTATTAAGATATGTATTTTGAAAAGCTAATTTAAAACATTTCTGTTTCTCCCCCTTGTTGTTAACCTCACACTTGCTTTAACAAGCTTTTCCTTAGGGTGTGTTCCCTTCTGATTAAACTTCTGTTTGGCTCCACCCTCTGCTGAAGTGTGCTGCAACTTGTCAGAAAGCAGGAAGTCTGGCTAGAGTACTCTGCATGGTTTTATAAGGTAAGCATTATGTTAGGGTTCTGTTGGTAGCAAAAACGCTTTGAACACCATGTAGTGCAATCTTTTTTAAAACACTAGTTTAAGAGTGTCTGTGGTAATGGGAGAAGTGACTGCTTTTTGTTGAGCAAGGTCTATGTAGCAAGTAAAGAACAGGTGTTCTACGATCTGGTTCCAGAGCTTCTGCTGGTAATATATGTCAGGCATAAGGTTGATGATAGCTTTCCTGTGATTAGAAAGTACTAGATTATTTTAAAATGTGTATTGATGAGTGTGGTGATGCAGGAGAACTCTGTTTCTATGTTCTCTGTATTATAAAGAACTATAGGTATGTAGAGCAAAATTCAATTATTATAATTGGGTATCTGAAGAGAAAAAAAATATTTTAAGCTTTATACATAACGTCTTTTTCTGGAAATCCAGATCCTTCTGTATGAACACAGCTTAACTATGTTAATGCTATACATTTCCAGCATTGTTTCTATATTCTACTAAAATCTAAATTTCCTAAGACAACATATGTGCAAAGAGAGAGCTGTTTCTAACACTTGTAAAACAAATGAAAATTATTTGCATTTAGTGTATTACAACAGTGATGCTTATGTAATGCCTTTCATCTAAGACTTCAAAAAGATCTTCTTATTTAGAAAGTAATGTCATTGCTATAAGTTTGAGATATTAACAAGATCCTGTTAAACTAAACTTCAGACTACTTTACCTTGAAACAATTTTGGCTTTTTAAAAATACATTTGCCTTTTATAGTTTTAAAATTGTGTCTTTATATTTTTTAAAGAAAACTCTTTTCTATTCCTGCGAAAGGGGGAAAATCCTACCCAAAGGTAACTTAACCTCTGCCAGTGGACCCCATTAATTGGATGCAGGATGGGAGCCAAAGGTGGGAAGGTTGATGCTGCTCTGACAATGTCAGGTGTCTTTATTAAGTCCTCCCTTATCTTGCTTTTTGATGTGGCTCTTATCCTTCCCAGAAGATACTCTTATTCTTCCTTGTGTGTAGTTTTAATGTTACCGGAAACAGAAAACATTGTAATATGTCCCAAGCTACACAGACTGGTCTGTTGTTGTTCCTGCTCTTGTACTGGAAATGGACATTTTTGGCTTTTGTGAACTAACAAACTATGTGAACAGAATGCAGAGCGTTCCCAATTTAAATGGGCTACTATGTAACTCTGGATCAGATTAAAATATACAGTAATACTATTCCTCTATTATAAAGATGATTGAAATACATTTTTTTTAATTTCACCCATCTGAGTGAAATATCTATCAGACTTCATTTCTAAGTGACTTAGGAGTACAGGTTGCTGAGTTTATTGCTAACCTGAACATGCAAATAGGGCTCTTTCTTCTACTCTGTAACGGTGTCCTTTTGAGCTGGCAGCAGATTAGAAGTGACCACAACCCTCCTTTTTACATTACTTAGGGAGATGGAGCTCAGACAGCAGGGCTCTGTGTCCCCATTCTCTTGTGAGAATAGTAACGTGGCACGATGAGGCTACGTCTACACCGCACAGTTATTTCGGAATAAGCTATTCTGAAATAGTTATTCTGCAATAGCTTATTTCGAAATAGCATGTCTACACTGCAGGAAAGCTTCAAAATTAATCCGAGGCAGGCTTCTCTAATGTAGATGTGCTATTTCGATTTAGAGCCCCAGGAGGAATAACTTAGAATGGCCTTGGTGAGGGGCTATTTCGAAATAGCAGAAGTGGAGTGTCTACACAGCCCCTATTCCAACATAACTATTTCAGAATATGCGTTATACTTTGTAGAATAAGGTTTACAGAAGTCAGAATAAGTTGTCCATTATTTTGAAATTCAGGAAGTCCCTGGGTTATGTACAAAATTGGGACTGTAGGTTTGTTCTTAAGTTGAATTTGTATGTAAGTCGGCCTCAGCACGGGGAGTTTTTTAATGCGGCCCTGGCGGCGCTTCGCATCCCCTTCCCCCGCTCCCCATGCGACTGGTCTCTGGGGCTAGGGCCAAGTGTGCCCCGTGCGCCCCGCCCGGCCGCTGCAGCGCCCGAAGGCCGCAGCCCAGCGCAGGGCAGGGTGTTTAACGGTGGAGGCAGATTCCCCTTTAAATCTCCCCGCCTGCCCCCCCCCCCAGGTCTCCCTCTTACCGGCTCGCTCCTCGCCCTCCCTCCGCCTCCTCCCGCGAACAGGACTCCCAGCCCAGTCCCACAATGCACCAGGCGCGCCGGGCTCCCTCAGCGCTGCCTGAATGGAAATGCCGCCGCCGGGGCGCAGCTAGTGCGGGGTGCCTCCCCCACTGTCGCCGCCTCTGGTGGCGCAGGGGGGCACTTCCCCCCAGCAGACCAGGGAGACGCGGAGCTAGCGCCACGCCCCCCTCCCCCAGCAGACCAGGGAGATGCGGAGTGGCTTTTCTCGCCGCGGAGGACGCGGGCGGCGGGACCAACCTGGCAGCGCCCCAGCTGCTCTACCCCAGGCGGCCTGATTCAGCTGCTGTTGAAACTGACCAGCGGCTGATTCCAAGAAGCCGCTCCGCATCTCCCTGGTCTGCTGGGGGGAGGGGGGGGGGGGGGGGGCGCTAGCTCTGCGTCTCCCTGGTCTGCTAGGGGGAAGTGCCCCCCGCGCTGCCAGAGGCAGCGACAGTGGGGGAGGCACCCCGCACTAGCTGCGCCCCGGCGGCGGCATTTCCATTCAGGTGGCGCTGAGGGAGCCCGGCGCGCCTGGTGCATTGTGGTAAGAGGGAGACCTGGGGGGGTGGGGGGCAGGCAGGGAGATTTAAAGGGGAATCCGCCTCCGCCGTTAAACACCCAGCCCTGCGCCGGGCTGCGGCCTCCGGGCACCCCGCACTAGCTGCGTCCCCCCCTCCCCCGTTCGTAACTAGGAATCCGACGTAAGTCAGATTGATGTAACCCGGGGACTTCCTGTAATGGAATTGCTGTGTAGATGCTACACAGGAGTGCATGCAGCATCTGAACAGCAGATCAGTTAGTTCCTTATCCAGATATTCAGTCTCCCTTTTATGAAGAAACTCCTTTGGAATGGAGTGTGGGAACCAAGTCTGTTCCCTTGACGTGAGTTCTGACATCACCCCACTGGAACTAGCTGTTGATCTCACTCTGTCTCCCCACCAAACCTCATGAAGTTGATGGGGCCTCCTGTATAGAGGCCTGGTGGGTATGCTCTGGCGCTCTGCTTCCTCTCTGAATCCCTAGCAGTATGTCTTGAATAGGACCATGCTTCCAGTCCTTCATTGCCAGTTGCCTCAGGGCCCCCTTTTAGGAGCATTCCCTCATGTGAGGGACTGACTTGGAAGATAGCCCAGCCTGAGGCTTTGCTGCTTTTCCTGCAAACTTTCTGTGGGTCCAGCTGATTTTTTTTTTTTTCTCGTCATTGGCAGATTTGTTGATCTTGTGAAGAACCCTCCAGGATGTCCTGAGAGGTGGGATGGTTCTATGGAGGAACCTGGCTACCTTGTGTGGGGCTGTCATCTAGGAGGGTTCGTGTGCACACAGATGTCAGATGGGACCAGGAATCTTATTACAGCTTTTAGTCCTCTAGAAAAATGGGGTGCAATAAAGATGCTGCATCTTTTTAGCCTATTAATATTGACTATTATCTCTCTGAAAATGCAGAATGGTATTTGGGTTGTGGCAGGATGAAGCGAGAATGTTGGCACAGCTGGGCAAACTCACCAGAAGTCCATTTCCAATGTTAAAAACAGAGGCTTTCTGGGATTTGTTTTATTTACAATCTTTTATGACTTGCACAAAATCCAAAAATTCTCTTACCATGTAGTCCTAACAGTAGCTTAAGTCAAATCTGGTATTTTTCAGTCCTCCCTGTCCTACATCTACTAAGGACCTGATCTAAAGCTAATTGTAGTCAATGAAAGTATAACCTTTTACTTTCTAATCTGTTCCTCCATAGGACTCAGACAATCCTAGGTAGTTCAATACAGTTATAAATAAGGGTTCATATTTAAGTTGGCAGAATCTGGCTTCTCATCCATAACAGCTTTTGTGGATAGGCCCTACAGTCTTTTTTTTTTTTTTCCTTTAGGTAAAAATGATCTCTGTAAACTCCATCAGTTAGTGGCTGCAGATAAAGAGGTACTCTTGCTCTGATCTGTTAATATCTAAATAATCACTGCTGTTCTTCCTTAGCTCAGACAAGTTGAAGAGAAAGGGACTTGTTCACCAGTTCTTCAGGAGTGTCTCTTGAAGGTACCCAGATGACCTGACTGGAAATCCAGATCCTGCTTAAAACCAGAATATCCGTTCTTCACCTCTGAAATCACTAGCTTCCTAGGAATACTATTTGTGAATTTAGGCAATCTCTGGTGGCCTCACAACATATTTACCCTGTTTTCATGGCTTGTCACCAGTGCAGGTGTCAAGACAGGTACTTCCACACAGAAGGCTTCTGCTTGAGACCTGAGTAGCTTGCCAATCTTGTGAGAGACTTTTTACAATGGACTGTGGATTCTAATTCAACCCCAACTCAGGTGTTTGGATCACAAGTTACCAATCCATTGTTTACAGTCATGGTCCTATTTGAAATAAGCAAACAATGCCAGCTCTGGTGCTAGTATCTAACTATTTGTTAGTCTTATCATGGAGATGCTAATGATGGAATGGACTTGAAGACTAAAATTATATTCATTTTCAGATATAGTCAGTCCCTCCTGAATTAGGAATGGTAGTGGAGCAAGGAAGAAAGCACTGTCAAACATGATATACTGAGCATTGCATAATCAGAGGGCTTTAGGATTCTGTAGAAGGTTTTGGATTAAATTATTTTTATAGTTCAGTTAGTATTTGACGCATTGAGATTGGTTCAGATGAGTGTATTTTAAAGCTACTGGATTATTGGCTCTCTCCAATGAGTGAGTAGGAAAGTAGTGTATTGCATAGAAATGAGTTACAAAGTACCTAATGAACTTACACATGTCCTCCTCTAATTTGCGAGTTCTGAAGCATTTCCCAAGTAAGCACTATAAATAAAAGTATGAATTGTGCAACCATTTGATCTACTGAGTTAGTATGCATGGTGGCTACGTCTAGACCGGCATGATTTTCCACAAATGCTTTTAACGGAAAAGAGTGTCTAGATTGGCACGGACGCTTTTCCGCAAAAGCACTTTTTGCAGAAAAGTGTCCATGCCAATCTAGACGCGCTTTTCTGCAAAAAAGCCCCGATCGCCATTTTGCGATCGGGGCTTTTTTGCGCAAAACAAATCTGAGCTGTCTACACTGGCCCTTTTGCGCAAAGCTTTTGCCCGAACAGGAGCAGCATAGTATTTCCGCAAGAAGCACTGATTTCTTACATGAGATCGTCAGTGTTCTTGTGGAAATTCAAGCGGCCAGTGTAGACAGCTGGCAAGTTTTTCCGCAAAAGCATCTAAACTTGCCAGTCTAGACACAGCCGGTTAGTTACAGTTAATTATGCTATAACTCTGCTGACATCAAGGTCAACCAACTCTCACACTGTATAGGACAGCCATGTCATAAAAAACAAGCCAGAAGTATGTTTAAGGTAAAACAGCTTGACTGTCTTCTCATGTTTTGTTGTTGGATGGTAAATTTGGTTACCTGGTGAACAAAACCTTTAAACTCATTGGCTACGTCTATATTGGCAAGATTTTGTGCAAATACTCCTTAATTCAAGAGTTTTTACGTTAGAGTATTTGAGTAAGAGAGCGTTATGCTGGCATGTGCCTTTGCGCAAAAGATGTGCTTTTGTGCAAGAGCATCCGTGCCTGTGTAGACGCTCTCTTGCCATTTTAAATATCGGGCTTTCTTACTCAAGAAATTGATGTTGCCTGTCTACACTGGCAAGAACAGTTGCGCAAGAGGGCTTATCCCTGAGCGGGAGCGTCAGAGTATTTGTGCAAGAAGCACTGATTTTATACATTAGAACGTCGGTGTTCTTGCCAATGTAGACATAGCCATGAAGTTCTTCTGTTTCCAACTGTAGAGATTTGGCTCTAAATTTAATATAAATGCTAGAGACTATTAGATATCCAGTACTACAAGAACTACTGTTGTCTAATGGGTGTGTTCCTGTTATAAGGTCGTTATTCACATATGGCACCAGTGTCTGCATTCTGCTTCACATTGGTTATTAAACCAGTTATCTGTGGGTACCAGTCAGTTGTACGGTATTTATATTGTGGTTTAAGGAATAGTTCTTTTTCCAGTTAAATTCTACTAATCTTATCTAGAGTATTGGATTTAATGAGATCTGCTGATTAAGCTTTCCTTAGGAGATCAGCTGACAAAGACAGTTCACTGTGTTTGAGCTGGAAATAAATTAATAAGCCGGACTGTTGTGAGAGAAAAATATAAATGCTATTTCTTCATTTTTATTATAAAACTAGGAGGCAGCACCCCATTTGCTTTGTTTGCCAACAAAGGGCTAGGCAACCCTGACTCTACCCCTGGTCACTAGGGAGGGCTGTGATTGCCTCTACTCCTCTCTCTTCTCTGCTGGCCGTTGCGAGCCAGGCCTGGCTCTGCCCCCACTAGCTCATTTTTAGCAAATAACATGTATAATTTCATGTTTTGGAAATTAGCTTTATCATTATAGGCAATCTAAGCTACTGAGTGAAGAGCTGTAATTATCAGAAAAAATAACCCTGTAATATTCTTGATTCCATTAAGATTTTATATGAGGATTGGTTTGGAAAGTTTGGCTGATCCTGGACTGGCAGTTTTGAACCTTTCTGGAGTGAATACAAATGTGTTCCCTGTACCAATGTTCCATAATTTTTAGTAATGATTTGTAATACCATGTTTATCTTACCGCTCTTGATTTCAATACATTATTTGAATTATTGGCATCATATGGTAGGTACTTTCATAATTGTTTATGGTGATTTTTTTTTTTCCTGAAGCAGTTATTACTAGTTCAGTAAAATAATTAGCTAATCGCCTTAAATCTAAAGATCTCACTATCCAGACGTACTGATGATGTATATTCAATTTTCCAAGAAGTTCAGTTTTTCCTTCATGGCTTTTAGTTAATATGTGGTGTCATGTTCATGAGGTTGTGACATGTTCTGTCTCACAGTTATTGCTATGGACTTAAGAGAAAACTAAGCACAAGTCTTAATGTACCTATGCTGAGGCATTATTGCAAAATCAGGTCTCTTGATATTGTCTCCTAGTCCAGTTTTTCTTCTTCCCTTAAGGAAGAGTAAGAGATGCAACAGATTGGAGGTGAGAATGTATTTTGGATCTACATTTTAATTCCCAAGCTTCAAGAAGTTTAGGCTTGGGGCTTTACTACTATATGGAATGGTGTCTGGCATGACATTCTGGTTTGTATTGGGTTTCAGACACTGAATTCCTTTCACATAGTTTGGGTAAATCTTCAGTACCAAATTGCTCTTCTCTCTGGCATTCTGAGAGTAACTTCCTGGTTTTCTTGGCGTTCTTCCCTCTGTGCTGTAAAAGAGTCAACTCAAAGAAAGGGACTTTACTAGGAAACTCAGGTAGGGGTGTGTGTGTGTGGAGGAATAAACTTTTAGTAGGAAAATTTGGGATACCTAGCAGACACTCACTTAGCCCTGTCTCTGCTGGCTCCATCTCCCTTTTTAAATTATGGTATGGTATAACAATTATTTCACATTTCCCTCTTCTCTTCCCCTCTGAAAACCCATTTTTATCTTTATGGAAAAAAGTAGCCTTGTTACCAGTCCACTTTGTAGAAGAATAACCTTGGCTTCTCTTAAAAAATCTGTACCACATCATCTACTGTTTAAACTGGAACCCTAAACATTGTTTTGTTATCTTCTTATCAAAAAACAAGTCTCTATCACATGGTAACTGTCAACATGATGAAGCTTGTTCTATCTTCTATGTAAGAGCTCCTGAAAATAAGAAAAGTTGCAGTGACTTGTGCATACTGTGATCTCAGCAAGGACTGTGCAAGTTGTCTTTATTTTAAGTTCTAATTCACCTCAGTTCTTGCCTATGGAATGTGCTCCTCAGCCTTTCCTGCACAGAATTCTGGTGATGATTCAAAAATTGACTGGTTTTGGAGATGTGCTGGAATGAGGACTAGCAGGAGCTTGCCACATTCATTTTAATTTGTCATTTGCAATAAATTAGGAAACTAGCTCTCTAGAAGTAATAGATGACACAGTGAGTTTGTATAATAGCCTGTCTTGTCTCAGTATTCTGAAAAAACAAAATCATTGTTTTTCAGAAGGGTTTTGTGTGTGTGTGGGGGGGGGGGGGGGGGGGGCAGGGGAGGGAAGGTGAGGGAGGCATGTTTCTCTGGAATGAGTGTAAACCTGGGGTTTTTTTTCCCTCCTATTTACTGAACATAGTACCGTAGCTGTTTGGTGGCTTTATGTACAAGCACAAATCCTGCATTGTTTTGTACAACTGAGTCTTGCATTGTATGTGAGCATTCTGTGAAAAGTGCTAATATGAAAATGTTTCTAGTGAGTAAATGGTTACTCTGACCTTGTAAACGTTTTGGCTTCTCTCTCTCTCTCTCTCTTTTAAATCCGAAGGCAGGGCTCAGTTTATCTGAGAAATGTTTGTGTTATTTTTATACCCATATGTGCTTAGGAAGCTTCCTAGCTCCGCTTTTGTGATCTATATGGGTAAAACAGACTATACTTTCCCAGAAAGCAGGTATTTGGATCTCACATTAGCATATCTGTGACTTGAATATATGTGCGTCTCCTACTCTGTTTTTAAAGGGGAACACTAGTCTTCGGTAATCTGCTTTACGCTTTGAGATGTCTTAGTGAGGGTGAAGATTTCAAGAGTGTGTGTGGTGTTTTTTTGTTTTTTTTTAAACCATTTTGTTTGACCACCGTGGAAATAGTTGTTTTATCATGGATTGAGATGTCAGACACCCAGGTAAATTTAATAAGTTGCCCTGAAATTATACTGTCTTGGAACAACGTTGTGCATAATAGCAAATGTCTGCCTTATATCTGTAAGTATAGAACCTAGTTTAGTGTACACAAGTACTGTTGGTATAACAGTATCCTAATGCAAGTATGAGATGAAATCCTTATCCAATGTTTTCTTATTTTGAACAATTTCCTCCTATAATAATTAAAAACTCTATTTACAGTGTTCTGCTTAACATGCAGACTAGCAACTCATCCCCTTAAAAGATCTCACTGTGCTGAAATTTTAACACTAAAAGCTCAGACCTACCTTTCTTTCTGCCATATTTCCTCATGGTGACAGAACAAAGTTAATTTTCTTTACAGGCAGTCTCCAAGTTACGTGGATCCGACTTATGTCGGATCCCTACATACGAACGGGGCTTTTCTCGCCGCGGAGGATGCGGGCGGCAGGACCGCCCAGACGCGGCGCGGTCCCGCCGCCCGGGTCCTCAGAGATGCGGAGCAAAGCCGCGGAGGACCTGGGAGGGACCCCGGT